TCCCCTTGCCTCTGGCAGCTGCCTCTGCCACTCAGGCCACCACAAGCCGCTTTCCTGGCAGGTTCTGCCCTTGGGTTCTGCCTCGCCCCTCCCTCAGGAGCCTGGCAGGGGTTGCCCAGTTTTGGGCCTTTGTTGTTCCTCCCCCTCCCATCCCAGTGCCCCCAAACAGCCCTGAGCCAGCCGGGAGGGACAGGATCTGCTGGGCCAGGGCCTGGGGCTCAGCCCTTGGCCTTTGTGCTCCACAAAACCAAGGCAGGCTTTGCTCAGCATTGCAGGGGCCTGCCCAGAGCCTGCACTCCTGGCCTCCAAGGAGCTGCTCCAAGGAGTCCCTGGGGAGGCTTTGGCAGTGCCTGCCCTCAGTGGGGCCCAGCAATGCTTCAAGGCACTTGGACTTTGGCTTCTGACTTCTTCAGCAGCTGCTTCAATCTTCTCTCAGTACCTCAGGGTCATGGGCTGGGCTGCAAACACACCGTGGGGCTCATTAAATTCCAGAAATCCCTCAGGATCTCTTTGTCTTCCTTTAATTGTCTTCAAGGCAATTTCAAAACAAGTATTCAAAGTTTGTATTTTTTTTCTTTTAATTCTATTATGGATATTTTTTAGTTCAGAGGAGAGGTGATAGAGGTGTTCTCCAAGTGATCTTGATGCTGAGTGTCTCCTCAGGAGATCCACACTGACCCTGGATGATCAACATTTCTCCTCATCCCCCAACCTCACCAGTTCTGACATGGCCCATCTTGGACTGACAGCTGATGCAACTCCAAACACACTGTGGGACCCATTAAAACACTGAAAAACAAATTATTTTCATTCCTTTAATTGTCTTCAAGTCTTCGAGACTTCTACAGCTAATTGGAGTTGTTTTGTAGTTTAGCTAAAGAGGATGACTTTAAAGTGAAAGTCATGAAAAATATATATTTTTTGATGAAAGGGAATGATTTACACAGATCCTTGGGATGCAAGAGGGTCAGGGCACAAAGGAATTGGATCCAAAGATAAGGGGACAAAAGACATTAGTAGCATTTAATCATTGACCAATTGAACAGTTATCAGGTGATTCAATAGCATGTGCTACAATTTTAACAGTGACTGAATTATAGATTGACAAGAACAACATTCCCACCACAGTCAATTCACACCCACACCCAGGCAGAGATGTGTGGACACATCAAGAGCTGGGTGTGGAAAGGTCCCTCTCCCAGATTCTCCTTGTTGTCAGGGAAACACTCCCCCAAATCCCTTTGTGTTTGCCAACAGACCAGGGGCCCAGCTGGAGGAGTGTTTGTGGAGGGGGATCAGAATTGTCCTGGGCACCAGCGAGGGTCTTTGGAGTGTTGCAAACTGGAGGGTTCCCGAGCTGGGAGAGGCTGCCAGAGGTGTCCCACTGAGAGGGAGGTGCTGGGGAGCTGCCAGGGCCTCCCTCAGCCCCGCTGGGTGTGGGCTCAGAGGGTGACTGGCTTTAGTTATCTGCTGAATTTCCATCCTGGTGTCAGGAATGACTGGAGTTTCCAAACTATTTGGGAATTGCATCCAAACTCTTCCATTTGGGCTGCGATACAGGTAGGGAATGTTCCAAGGCTTTCATGGGATGACTGATTATCCTGTGTTCCCCAGCTGATCCACTCTGGATTGTTCCCACCTTTATCATCCAGGAGCACCTGGTCCAGTCCAGGGACACTTCACCACACCCCTGGTCCACTCCAGGGGCTCTTCATTGCGCAGCTGGTTTGGTCAAGGCTTGTCAGGAGCTCCTGAGATCATCAACCAGGCCTGAGGAGAATGGGGGGAGGATGCACCACCACAGAGGCTTCTAAGAAAGATGTGGAAAAACATTTTGTAGGGCCTAGATATGGTGTGATAGGACAAATGATTTTAAACTAAAAAATGGCAGGTTTGAAGTAGATATAACCAAGAAGTTTTTACAGTGAGGGTGGTGAAACACTGGCACAGATGCCAAGAGAGGTGATGCCTCATCCCTGGAAACATTCAAGAGCAGGTTGGATTGGGCTCTGAGCAATGTGATCTAGTTGTGGATGTTTCTGCTTATTGCAGAGGGTTGGACTTGATGAATGTCAAAGATCCCTTCCTACCAAAACTCTTCCATCATTCTACTGGTGCCAAGGCTGACACAGGTTTCAGACCCAGCTGAGCATCCCCTTTGATGTCCCATCTGGCAGCTCTGCTTAAAAGCTGCTGCAAAGAACCTCCAGACCTAAAGGAGCTTTTGTGCTGGGCTCAGCTGTGGCTTTTGGCTGCCAGATGCCCATCAAGGCTCTCTCTCACTCCTTCTCCTTCTCCACTACCCTTGGTGCCTGCAGGGTTGTTTCTCCCCCGTTTCTCCTACTCCTCTCTGGGTTACAGCACCTTGGATTTTATCCTTTCTCCAAAGGGTTATCACAGAGGTGCCTCTGGAATTGCTTTTTGGCTCAGCTTTGGGCACTGGCTGGTCCATTTTGGAGCCACCTGAAACTGGCTCTCTCTGACACAGAGTCAACTCTTGATCTCCTCTTCCCTGAGGGAAACCTGCAGCCCCCTCACTGCTACCAAACCTGATCCACAGGGTCATTCAAGTGCCCAGGAATAGAGGAGGTCATTGAGCCCATTATTCCTCAGGCTGGTTAAACGAGACTTTGTCCTCTTCCTGTCCCTGACTGCAGGTTCTTTGTGTCAGAGCAGAGCTGTGCTGGACCTCAGCTGTGCTTTGCTCCAGAGCCTGCTGGGGTGGGGGCAGATGGCAATGGAACAGTTGGGTTGGGCTGGATGATCCTTGTGGGTCCCTTCCACCTCAGCATATTCTGTCATTCTGTGTTTGTTTGGGTTTGGTTTGGTTGTGTTTGGTCTTTTTCCCTCCTTTTGATTTTCCTTTCCTCTGACCCATGAGTTTTTTCTTCATTGTCTTGGGCCTTGCTGGGCACCTGATGGCAGGACAAGTTTATCCCACTCAGTCATCTTGACCACATTTTTTGTCCAAGTCACCATTAACTAGAGGAGGTTTCTCACAGACTCGCTGCAACTTGGCCTCATCCACAAAGGAGTGGAAAGTGCATTTCATCCCATCATCCAGAGACATAATAAAGATGTTCCATAGGAATGGTCAAGGGCTGGTCCGTGATGGATGTCACCTGGGAGTTGCTGCCAAGAGGAATTTGTGCCATGACTTTTGACCCTCATCAGTCATTCAACTTCCCACCCACCACATGTTTCACTTGTCCAGTCCAGCTGTCACCAGTCTGGCCATAAGGAGACCACAGGAGACCACATCAAAGGCCTTGAAAAAGTCTGGGCACACAACATCCCTTTTCTTTTGCCTCCCACAGGGGTTCTGCAATCCCTGCCTTGTCCTTCCCATGCCTGGCAATGACTGCAGGAGGACTTGCCCTATCCCCTTCCCTGCTGAGCCTGAGCAGTCTGGAACTCTGCCAACCCTCCTTGCTGCCCTGTTTGCAGACTGGTTCCATGTCTGCTTTTGCCAAGGCCCCAGGAAGCTCTGGGATGGCTCTGGCCAGGGGACAGAGCAGCCTGTCCCCAGGGGGGGATGCAGAGAGAGGTTTCTCTGTGTCAGGGATTCCTCTCTGCAGGCCCAGAAATGCTGCCTTGCTCTTCTGCAGGGACATCCCTTTGCCCAGGTCAGTTTGTCCAGGCTGCCTTGGCCAGTTGCAGATCCCAGCCTGGGATCCCTGCAGGGCCCTGAGCTGGAGGTGCTGCTCTGCACAGGGAGGGGCTGTGGCACCCTGGGCTGACCCTGCACTGGCCATGCTGGTCAGGGTGGGGAGCAGACCCAGCAGGATGGGGATCACTCCTCTCCACCCTCTGCCATAGTCCTGGAAGGCTCAGTAGCCAAGAACAAGGCTGGGCAGGACCATGGGTTGTTTCCAATGGCACAAAGGGCAGGGCAGGACTCCACTCCATGCAGCCTGTGAGCTGGAGAGTTCTTCAGGACACCCTCCTGGAAAGCCCACCCCTGGCTCTGGTACAGCCCCCCCTGAACTGGGGAGGCACAAGGGGAGTTCACTGCAGGTGAGACGAGTCACTCACCAGAGTCCTTTCTCTGTTCCTGCTGCATCCCCTGGGGTTGCAGAACTCTCCTTTACCAGTTCACAGGCAGATTTAGGACTTGATCTCTGGTAACTCCACCCTGGGCAGGATTCTGCTCCAGGGCTCCATTCCCTGCTGACTGGATGGGACGGGCTGTCCCTGCAGATCCTCTCTGCTCTCCTGCACTTCCTGAGTTCCTACAGACATGTCCTCACCTGCCATCAGGGCCCTCACAAGCTGCAGAGCCCCAGGCAGGTGACTTGGAGACCATTTGCCACTGGCCACCAGCACAGAACATCTGAACCAGCCCTCAGTCCCTCAAATACCCCAGTGAGTCGCTTCTCTCACTGCAGGGACTGAATGGGGAAACAAACAAAGCAATGAGACTTTGCAGAGTCTATTCCTTGGCCTTGTTCTTTACACCAACCTTTAAAAAGAACAAAGTCTTCAGGAACTGCCCATGGGGATCCCCTTTCCTGATGGAAATGATGTTAAGGAGCCCAGCTCAGTCCCAGCAGTGCCCAGGGCCTGTCCCTGCCCATGGTCACAGGACTGACACAGAGCAGGGACTGAGCTGCCAGAGCACTCAGGCCTTGGGCAAGGAGCAGAAAGGAGAGGGAGGCAGTGGGAAAACAGCATCTCTGAAAAGGCCAAGAGCTGCTGCTCCCTGGCAGTGCTCCTGTACCAGGACTCTTTACCCCTTCTCCTCTGCACACAGGCACTGCCCTCCAGCTTCAGGGAAGTTGTTGGAGGGAGAATTAGGAAAAAAGAATTCAAGTCCTTTATTCTACTGGGAGATTGTGATTCCTCATTTACAGAATAACAAAGGCAGGATGTTTGACAAAGAAGTTGCTGCAGGAACTTTTACTTTGTTTAAATGCACACAGAGAATGATCCCTCATTTACACAACATTAAAAGAGGAAAAAAATGTAGGAAACGGCCCCCACCACCACTCTCAAAAGCTTTAGAAAGCAGGCTGGGCCAGTAAAGGGTTATACAATGAGTGTTGCCCAGAAGAAAAAAGGCAGGTTATTGCTCTTGAAAAGCATCCAGTCATCATTTTCCTCAAGGCATCCTTAAGCTCCTGGTTCCTGAGGCTGTAGATGAGGGGGTTCAGTGCTGGAGGTAATATTGAGTACAGAACTGCCACCACAAGGTCCAGGGATGGGGAGGAGATGGAGGGGGGCTTCAGGTCGGAAAATGCACCAGTGCTGACAAACAGGGAGAGCACAGCCAGGTGAGGGAGGCACGTGGAAAAGGTTTTGTGCTGTCCCTGCTGAGAGGGGATCCTCAGCACAGCCCTGAAGATCTGCACATAGGAGAAAACAATGAAAATGAAACAACCAAACGCTAAACAGACAGTGACCCCAATGAGCCCGAGTTCCCTGAGGTAGCCTGAGTGTGAGCAGGAGAGCTTGAGGATGTGTGGGATTTCACAGAAGAACTGGCCCAGGACATTGCCCTGGCACAGGGGCAGGGAAAATGTATTGGCTGTGTGCAGCAGAGAATAGAGAAAGCCAGTGGCCCAGGCAGCTGCTGCCATGTGGGCACAAGCTCTGCTGCCCAGGAGGGTCCCGTAGTGCAGGGGTTTGCAGATGGCAACGTAGCGGTCGTAGCACATGATGGTGAGGAGGGAAAACTCTGCTGACATGAAGAAATAAAAGAAAAAGACCTGTGCAGCACATCCTGTGTAGGAGATGGTTGTGGTGCCCCAGAGGGAATTGTGCATGGCTTTGGGGACAGTGGTGCAGATGCAGCCCAGGTCTGTGAGGGAGAGGTTGAGCAGGAAGAAGCCCATGGGGGTGTGCAGGTGGTGGTCACAGGCTACGGCGCTGAGGATGAGGCCGTTGGCCAGGAGGGCAGCCAGGGAGATGGCCAGGAAGAGCCAGAAGTGCAGGAGCTGCAGCTCCCGCCTGTCTGTGGATGCCAGGAGGAGGAACTGGGTGAGGGAGCTGCTGTTGGACATTTGCTGTTTTTTAGCACAGGATCTGTTCAAAAAAGGAAAGGACAGGGAACAGTTAAGACAGACCTCTGTGAAAAAGCCACTCCATTGCTACAAGAAATCAATGTGTAAAATGTCACCAAATGCACTGCCAAGGAGTCTGTTTTGCTTTGCTCCAGGGGGAAATGAAATTTTTTGGTAGAGCTCTCAGACACACAAGGAATGTCAGATGTAACAGACCTTGAATACAAAAGTTCCATCTCTACTGTAATGACTCAGAAGAGCTGGGGCTGCAGAGCAGAAGCTTAGTCTGAGCTTAGAATAATTGTACCTGTGTTTTCCATTTTTACCATCATACCTGGGGAAGGTTCTTTTCCACTGCAGGAATCCTCATTTCTATGGCCCAGCACACAGTGCCCAGCAGAGCTGCAGGGAAGGGCCCCCAGATCTGCCTGAATGCCCCCATCCCCCAGGCCTTGGGGGCACTTATCCCCCACTCCCTGCCCAGGGCTCTGCTTCCTGGAGCTGTCCCTGCCAGCAGCTGCTTCCCTGGGCCCAGGGCTGAAAAAGTGACACTGCTGCTGTCTATAAGACAGTTTTGATGTCTGACACTCTCAAGTTCAATCTCCTCTAATCTAACGGAGTTCAAGTTTCAGTGTCTCCTCCTGTGCTCAGAGATTGATTTCCCTGTTGCAGTCAGCACCCAGACAACCCAGAGTATAACACTGAAAAAACTGGTTCATTCTCTTTAAGGTACCTCCTGTCTGTCTGTGCCTCTTGCAAATACCTTCTGGGAAATTTCCTGCTTTGATCTGGAGCTGTGACCAGCCCTTATCCCTGCAACACACTTTGGAGATCAGAAGGACTCTGCCCTGCTCTGCCCTCCCAGGAGTTGTTCCTTCCCCACAGCCCTTCTCCCCCAGCCCCGTGGCAGCTCCTTGGCCGGGCTGAGAGCTGACCCTGGCAGGCAGCAGAGTCCCTGCCCCAGCACACAGAGCCCTGGGGGCAGGACCCTGCTCTGCCCCACAGCCCTGGGCACCCCTGGCTGCACCCCCACCTTCCCACCCCACAGCCAGCCCTGGCCCAGGGAACCTTCTGGCCCTGGGCCTCTGAGGGGGCAGCAGCAAGTCCTGCTCTGCAGCAGCTTCTCCTGCTGCACCCCAGCAAATCCAGCAGAGCCATCCTGACAGCTCCTGCCACTGCTGCCATTTGGCAGCTGGCAGAGGCACTTGCAGGAACTCCCCTGCACTGCTCTGCAGCCACAGCCTGACCGTGGCAAAGGGCTGGCAAGGTTCCTGCCCTGAGCAGCTCTGCCCTGTCCTCCCAGCCCAGGATCCCTTGAACCTCCTGCTCCCTTCTCCTCTCTGCCCTTGCTGCCTGCAGCTCCTGCCCTGCTCTGCCATATGGCCACTTCCCCTGCACTGCAGCAACTGGGAGAGTCCTGCTGAAAGATCCTAGAAGCTGTGGGATGTGCCAGCTTTAGGAGATGCCTCCAGGAAGGCAAGTTGAACTTTCCTACAGCCAGAGAATTCTTCCTTCAAATCCCGGGAAGGTTTCTTGTGAAGTGAGAGCTCAGTCACCTCCCAGCCCAGGCTGCCTCTCATCTCTCTGCCTTCTCTCCTGTGCCCTGGGTGCTGCAGGCAGTGCCCTCAGCCCTGCTGGGCTGTGCAGAGGAGCTGCTCACCAGCAGAGCTGTCTCTTTGAAGCACTTCTTGGTTACCAGGAGCTCCCTGTGTGCCAGGAGCCCAGCCCAGCTCAGCTGCACAGCAACAGCCCCAGGCAGCCCTTTCTCTGCCCCTCTGGGCTCCCTCCAGCTGTCCCTGGGGCTCCAGGGGAACCTGCTGGCACACAGCTGAAGGAAATAATGATGTTCCTTCTCTCACCTGGGCACAGACACTTCTTTCAGCACTGTCATTTTACCAAACAGACACAGAGTTAAGTCCAAGAGTCCCCTTTTTCATGTCCCATCATTAGACAGGAAACCCAGACAGTGCCCAGGAGGGATCTCCTTCACCTGCACTGAGGGAAGGGACTCAGCTGAGTCAACAGAGGTGTCTCCTTGTGGCTCTACAGACCTGGGGCCACAAGGACACTCAGCTCCCTCCACAACCCCCCTGGGCTGGGATTCCTCCTGCCCCACTTCAGTGGGCCCAAAACAGGCCCCTGCAGGTGACTCCTTGTCCCAGCTCCCATGGCAATGAATGAAGACCAAAGCCAGGAGTGACCTGCTGGGACACAAAGCCCTGGTTCCTTCTGAGGGGCCAGAGGTGACTGAGATTCCTGCTGGGAACTGCAGGCTCCAATGGAGCAGTTCCTAGGGACAGGGCAGCAGCTGTGGGATCTTCTTGGAGGCTACTGGGACATTGCTTTGGCCAACTTCAGTGGCAGAAGGTGCTTACAGGTAGGACAGGGGAACCTGTCACTGTTCCTTCTGTCCAGGGCAGCCCCTAGAGGTGTTCAGGTGACCAAATGGAGTCAGGTGGCACAGGGAGAGAGGTCTCTCTCATGTTCTTTAGCAGGGTATTTTCTACATGTCCTCAGAGTACAATGGCCATTGTCTCCTGGACATCCCTTCATTGCTGAACCTAATTCAGGGCAGCTGATCCTGGATTGAACAGCCAAAGAGGGGCCTGTAGTGCCAGGGGAGGTGCCAGGGCTCTGCAGCACAAGTGCAGCAGCTGCCATGGACAGCACAGGGCCTGTGCAGGAAGCCCGTCCCCATTCCCAGCAGTTGTGGGACAGGCACCACCCAGGGCTTCTCAGACACATTGGGGGCCACTGGGGCAGGGAGTGAATCCCAGCCCTGCAGGGACACAAAGGCTGTCCCTTCTCTGCCCAGCCAAGGCCAGGCCAGGCACGAGTTCAAAGCACATCAGCCCAGGCTGTCCACACTTGTTTCCTCCTTCTGCTGGCTCTTCTCTCCCCCAGCATTTCAGCAGCATGTGCTGATCTCCTCAGGGATCAGGCCTGGGATTTTCCCCCTGGGCCTGAGTCCCAGCACGTCCACCCCCAAGGCCATTGTCAGCAAAGCCTCTGCACAGCCCAGCTCTTGGGGCTTTCAGAGCAGCTTTCCCCACTGCAAGTCTGTTCTTACCCCGGTGCCCCCACTGAGGGGCTGCAGCCAGACAGACCCCAATGCCCTGCGTGTGGGGCACAGGCAGGAGGAGCTGCAGCCCCAAGTCTCTCTGCATTCCACTTGCAGGCAATAACAGCCCAGGCCTGCTGAGACAGTTCCCAGGTTGCAGGGCTGTGATGGGTTGGGAGAGAAGGCCAAGGAGACACAGGAGAGAAAGAGCAGGAGAGAGGTTTCCTCAGCAGGAAGGAGCTTCTGGGACCTGTGGAGCTGCTGTAGGGGATGAACAACTTGGGTGAACTTTTGTGGGTGAGGGTGAGAGGAGAGAGTGGTTTGGTTGACCTTGTGGAGTGAGACAAAGAGCCCATTCAAGTTGTCTTTGATAACCCTGGAATTCACTGGAAAGGCACCATGACAGGATGCAAAGAGTCCCAGAGGTTTCTGCAGAGTCTTGGTCAAGACAGCCCTTGGCACACAGGCCTTTAGAGCACAGCTGGCAGGTTGGTGGACAACAGGGAGGCTCATCTGCATCTGCTTCTCTCCAAGAGGAACCAAGAGGTTCCCTTAGAAACTAACCATAGTAATAGGAATGTATGCTGGTTGCCATGGTAACTGACTATAGCAATGGAAATGTATGATGGTTGCCATGGTAACCAACCATAGCAATGGGAATGTATGATGGTTACCATGGTAACTGACCATGGGAACAGCAATGTATGATGGTTACCATGGTAACAGACTGTACCAAAGGGAAATATGATGGTTGCCATGGTAACTGACCGTAGCAATTTGAATCTATGATGGTTACAATGGTAAATGACCGTAGCAGTGGGAAGTATGATGGTTACCATGGTAACTGACTGTAGAAATGGGAATTTATGCTGGTTTCCATGGTAACCGACCATAGCAGTAAGAATGCATGATGGTTGCCATGGTAAGTGACTGTAGAAAGAAAAATGTGTGCTCGTTGCCATGGTAACCAACCATAGCAATGGGAGTGTATGATGGTTGCCATGGTAACCGATCATAACAACAGCAATCTATGATGGTTGCCACAGTAACTGACCATAGCAATGGGACTGTATGATGGTTTCCATGGTAACTGACCTTTGCAGTGGGAAATATGTGATGCTTGCCATGGTAACTGACCATAGCAATAAGACTGTATGATGGTTGCCATGGTAACTGACTGTACCAGCGGGAAGTATTATGGTTCCTGTGGTAACTGACCGTAGCAATGAAAATGTATGCTGGTTGCCATGGTAACCAACCATAGCAATAAGAATGTATGATGTTTGCCATGGTAACTGACCCTAGCAACTGGAATGTGTGATGGTTGCCATGGTAACTGACTGCAGCAAGGGGAATGTGTGATGTTTGCCATGGTAAGTGACCCTAGCAACTGGAATGAATGATGGTTACCATGGTAACCAACTATGGCAATGGGAATGTATGCTGTTTGCCATGGTATCTGACCGTAACAGTGGGAAGTATGATGGTTGCCATGGTAACTGACCATAGGAACGACAATGTATGCTGGTTACCATGGTAACGGACTGTTCCAGTGGAAAGTATGTTGGTTGCCATGGTAACTGACTGTAGCAAGGGGAATGTGTGATGTTTGCTATGGTAACTGACCTTAGCAACTGGAATGAATGATGGTTGCCATGGTAACAGACCATAGCAATGGGAATGTATGCTGTTTGCCATGGTATCTGACCGTAGCAGTGGGAAGTATGATGTTTGCAAT